ATCCACTTGTTCGGCTTTTGGTAGCAATACTTTCACCAGAATAGGTTTTTGATTTAGGATGCTTACCTTTCTGGGTGCCTGACCCGGTCGATGGCAGACATAGAATGCTTCCAACCACACGGGTGTTTCTATAGGCCATTGCTTCCCATGCCTCTCTGAGGGGGCCAGGGTCTGGCTCATGGTCCCCAGTAGGCCCACAAAACTCCATACACATGACTGATGCCAAAGTCTGACATTAGCATATCAGCCTATGTCGACTAAACCACACACCAGAAAGTGAAGGGATGACAACGTTTCGGTCTGCCCTGGACCATTCTCTAGTCGAATGTATCGACACAATCGACTTGAGAATGGTCCAGGACGGACCGAAATGTCGTCGTCCCTTCACTTTCTAGTGTGTGGTTTCGTCAGCATATTTCAGCCACATTATTGTGACTCCTCGTCTGCATATCAGCCTAGTAAGCTCCGGGGAGCCAAAGGGGCTCCCCCCCCCCCAAAAATCTGCCTTTCTTGTTTCATGAACATTAGGAAAGCCAAGTGGTGGGGTCACTGTCCAATTCAAACTTCAAGGGAGAGTGCTGACATCCCAAATGCTCAATTTGGATGATGATGATTCAATTTATGTTTCGTGGTTTCACTTAATAATTTACAAAAGGTAGAATTTGTGCCCCAGGAATCGTGGGCAGCTCTGGGGCTTCCAAATGGGCAACCATCCTAGTCCGATGCATCAAGGAGAAACAACCATGCAACGCGGCAGCTGCCTGATCCTATAAAAATATCAGAAGGGGAATGAGTGAATTGGAGCACAAGCGGGAAGCAGTAAATCCTGCAAGACTCCAGGTCCTTGGTGTCTCCAACCAAACAGGCAGCATGGCAGAGGCAGACAGGATGATGATCACCCTGAGGCAGGGGCGATGAGCAATCTTCGAAATTGCACAAGGTGAGAGTGGGCTCAGAAGTATCCATGCTATAACCAAGCCCACAGGGGTTTTCCAGGGCCTGTAGGGTGAATGAGCCCTACAGGAAGCTCAGGAACTGGGGCCAGCTAAGCTGGCAAACCCTGTCAATAAATGCAAACCAACCACAAGTAGCTGCTGTAAATCCTTGGGGGCAACAGAGGAGTACCACCATCACACCCTAGGAGCAGCCTAATGAGGAGCTAGGCAGAACTCCTCTGCAAAACCAGGTGAAACACCAACAAAATAGAAAACACACACACACACACACAACAAAAAATAATTCCATAACAGCCAACAAGCAGAGAGAAATGTCAGTGGTGCAGGTTATTAATAGCCAACAACACCACTGTATGCAAAAAACAAAAAAACAGCGTTGAATGTAATGAAATGCCATTTTCTGGCTAAGCCCCAGAGGATCCCTGGAGTTATCGGGCTGATGTCCCGGTCTAATATATTGCGCATCAGTCAATGGAGTTCAGCCTACCGGGAACCACGAGCCAGAACCTGGCTCCCTCAGAGGCAAAGGGAGCAATGGCCTATAGAAACCCCCCCATGTGGTTCGGGGCATTCCATGTCTGCCATCGACCGGGATTGGCACCCAGAAAGGTAACCATAACAGAACAAACCCCACTTGGTAAGAAAAAGTGACTGAAAACTGAACAGGGAGGCAGAACTTCCCCTATAACTTAAGAAAACAAGCAAACAAACAAAGGTCACACCTCATCGCTGCATCCCCCCCCCTGGGGGGGAGGAGGCGGGGGAGCCCCATAACTCAAAACTGGCTACTCAAGCCATCCAGTTCGAAGGCTGACCTTAAAAAAGAAAACGGAACCACCAACCGGAGGGAGGGTTGCCAGGGAGCCTCAGGGGTTCACCCAGAAAATGGCATTTCTTTACATTCAACACTGGCTTTCTGAGGGGAAGCCCCTACAGCTCCTTGGAGCTACATCACCAAAGATAATTAAAATAGTGACTGACCCGAGAGGCGGACGACACTCGCTCCTAAACTTGAAGTCAAGACAAATGGCTGCAACCCACGACCCAAAGCCACACACGGACGACTAGGACCAGGAACTTTGACGAGATAACGAGCGGCCAAGACCCTGTTCACCATCCAAAATCCCCACGATGAATGTCAGCCCAGGACATATTGCCGAAGACGGCAGCCAAAGCAGCAAAATTTCTTATATCATGGGCATGAGGATAGACCACAGGCTGGCTAGACTTTACAACCCTGCGGACTACCTGGGAGACCCGAGCCCTGGAACAGGGAATGAGGGAAACTGGATAAACCTAAAGCACATCTCCGGCCACAGAAGCCGAGGCACGCATTTAACGGCGAAAAGCCGCAACAGGACATAACACATGATGCACTCCCAACCTGACCAACCAGGCATCAATAACCCAAGGACCCCTCTGAAAAGCAGCCGTCTCGTTCTTCACCAGAAAAGAAAGAGACGGCTGCAACTGAACAAACCTACCAGTAGGACCATAGGAACAAACCTTCATGCTGGAGGAGAGCATGAAGCTCCCACATCCGACCACCAGAGGCCAATGCCAACAAAAAAAAGAGCCTTGGAGAAACACTCCTGAATCAAAGGGGCCACCACGAACTGAGGAGGAAAGATAGGAGAACACCCTGTCCAAAGACCAGGATGGCTGAAGCAGCATATGAACAGGCCGGACGTGAAACAAAGCACAAGACAGCTTATGGAACGGGGCCAAAGAGACATCCACCCCGAACGCAAACTGAGGGGGCTCTGCCAGCGCCGCATAATACGAGAATCCAAACAACAATAGCCGCCGCCACACATAGTCAGCTGACAATGCCACCACACTGCCAAGATTGCTCACATAATTTTAAAACAGCATATTGTTTTTGCTTTTATCACACTATATACACACACATTATATATAAGTATCTACATGTTTCTTTCACCATAACTGTGCCATTAAGCTGGGATGGTGTCCAAACAGCATAGTGGCCACCATACACTGCAAAACAAGTCACACACCATCCAGCAGACAACACAACCTCCTTCACCAAAATGGCTCCTCCAAATATACTGTTTTTGTTGTTATTACATTATATACACACGTTATATATAAGTATCTACATTTTTGTTCACCATAATGAACCACTAAGCTGGTATGGTGAGTCCAAACAATATAGCGGCCGCCACACACCAGCCAACTGTTGCCACCTCCCTCACCAACATTCCTCCTCCCAGCATACAACACACATCGTAATTCTCACCACAATGCTGCTGTTATCAGAATCCTGGTCACTAAATCCTGTAAATGAACCATGAAAAATCGTTTCAAGATTCTTAGATGGACCAAACAATGGCAGTGTGCTGTCGCTATCTGCTTGGCGCTGTGAACATCTTGACCAGCATTGTGTTCACTGATATCTGAATACAGTATTGTACACATTCTTTATTACAATCAGGCACTCCTGTAACACTATCATCTCTAAATAATAGGGTTACATATATATATTTGAAATTTTTAAGTAATGTTGTGGTCACAAGTTGAACAGCAGTGCTGTTAGCTCATGCTGCAAGTGCCAGCCTTGGTGGCTCACTCAGTACCGAGGCCTTCACACCCGAGAATGGTACCACAATTTTTTTTTAAACAGCATCTGTTAACTGGAGCCCTAAGGAAGCTGATGTGAACCCTATGTAGAAGTGAGACCTTTAAATCTTACACAGTACTTTAAAAAGTGTATATATGCAATATGTGCCATGCATAAAGCCATACCAAAATCGTATATATACGCAATTATCGCTGTTCAAGGGTTAAGCAGGCTGCACTAGCCGCAGTGTGCCACCGGTAGACAAACACTCCCCTACCCAGGGTAAGGCGGAGAGCCAAGACCCCCTGACATACCCTAAGGGCAAAGACAATCACAAGCGAGGAAGACCTCTAACGGGGCGTAATTCCTGAACACCCCCAGGGAAGACAACCCTGACCACCCAAGAGCAGTACTCACCGAGCACCTAGGGAAGGTGTCTCTAGATGCATGAAGCTCCAGTACACAGGAACTTCAGGCCAGCACACCCACAAGTGCAGGAACAGCCTCACAAGGCAAAAATTTCAGAATAGGAAATTATGACCAGAGGTGACATCCAACAGCTAAGGACATCAGTCAAGAACTGAAGGGTGGGTAGCACGGCTCATCCGGGCCAGCTCTCCCTCCCCCATGAGGGTGGGGGGGGGGGTGGCACTAACAAGCCAGGGGTTAGCTGAATGAAGTGTTGCATGTTTATTTTCTTTCTGGGGGAGTTCTTTTGCTCTTTTGAGGACATAGGTCACAATTTTCAACCAGACAGTGGTCAGTTTCGCCTACCTTTCTGGGTGCCTTCCCTGGTCGATTGTAAGTATGATAGATATAAAGTGTTCATAGGCTATTGCTCTCTGCGCCTCTCCGAGGGGGCCAGATTCTGGCTCTAGTCCCTGGTAGGCAACAAGAAGTTTGTGACTGATGAGATGACCCCAACTAATATAGCACTATATCAGTATGGATAGCTTCCGGGAGTTTCTGGGGCTCACCCAGAATCTGCCGTTTCATTACATTCAATGCTGGTTTTTTCTTGTCTGTGAATATTTTTGAGGTTTCTTTGTTATTTGTTCATCTAAAACAATTCTTTTGTTTTGAGTTTTACTGACATCTTTCAGCCCCTTTCATAGGGTTTTCTTCTCAGTAAGTGATGTCTATGGCACCCTTGGCTTCCTTGCCACTGGGAGCGGGGTAAGATTATGGTCCCAGTCTCCGGTACGCAAATGAGAAATTCGGAGACATCAGTTGAGTTAATGTTGGCTCCGAGTTACCTGTGCAGCTGAAGGAGAGCCCTTGAGAGGCCCCCAAAAAGGAACGTTTCATTATACTGTACTGATTTTTTTGAAGAAGAGGGGGAAGGGTTGGTATTTTTACTCTTGATGGGAAGGGCCAGAACCAAGGTTTTAAAGGAAAAAGGTTAATGTGATTTGATACTGACAAAATAAGAAAAATAACAAGCATTTATCAGTAATTCTTACCTGACCTCCCACAATCAGCACATGAGACAAGATTTTCTGGTGTGCCTGTTTTCTTGTTTTCTGAGGAATCACCCAGGCAAAAGTCACAATAAGGAGAAGCCGAGACTTTCTTCTTTCCCACATTCTTGTCCAGTGCAACGTCAGTAGGAGAAGTAATATCTTGAGGCATTGTAGGGACTGCATTTGCTTGACCCGTAGAACTGGAACGGCGGCCTGAGATGCGTCCTATGCTGATTAGTTTAAGAGTGGCCATGGAATGATTCCACATTAACAGTGTGAATTAAAATCAAAGTGAATGACTGAATCTGCGTGTGAGCAGGTGTGTATATGTATGCAAATGTACACACATTCAGGAGTTCACACACACACAACATGGTTCACAGGTTCAACAACACCAGGAGACAGGTGTCACTGCAGCAGGCTCCAGGAATATCAAATTGCCTAAGTATTGGGAACAGGTTGAGGGCTGTAAGTGGTGTCCCAGGTTACATGTAGGTATAGTGAAGTTTAAAAGTAAATATGATACAAATAATAAGTAAAAGTGAGTGAAAATTTTGTGTTGAAACAGTTTATATTCCATAACAAAAGATTGTCAATAACAAAGATGGCCACCACCACATGGAAGGTAAACACATCAACAGATGATTGTTTCAAAGGATTCTCATCACACGATATAATGAAAGGAGATTTTCTTGGCAGATTAGAGATAATTAAGGATATGCTATAGAAGTATGAAGAAAAAGTATTTGAATTAGAAGAAGAAAATGGAGCTCTCAGGAGAGAGTTTTGCACTCTAAAAGGAAGGAAAGAAAATTACCGCCTTAATGGACAAGGTAAAGATTCAGTAGGAACAAATTAAGGAACCAGTGAAAGAAAATAAGGTATGGAAAGTGAAGACTGGTAAATTTGACAACATTAACAAGAAAATACTCATATGGTGAACAACTGCAAAAAACAGAGGCCAACAGAGAATTAGGCAAGGATATGCAAAGAGAAACTTCAAGGACAACTCACATAGAGGAGGTTAATAAAGAACTATAAAAGTACAAAGAAGAAATTAAGGAGACGCATGCACAAGTGGTATAAGAGAGAGATGATCAAAGAAGTGTTTTAGGAAGTCAAAACCAGAAATGGCCAACAAGAAGCAGAAGTTAGGCAGACAATTAGGAAAGAACTGGCAACCAACAGTAAATAAGTCAAAACATTGCAGATAGAAGTAAGTCCATAACAATTTTTGGGTGTTTAGAAAAAGAAATATCACCTAGGGTGAACAGAGCAGCAGAAGAGATGAAAATCAGAGAAAATAGTAGGTTTAGGAGAAGGCCTCAATTCAAAGGAAAATATCAGTGATCTTAGAATAGGAAAATATGAGAAAGACAAGAACCGCCCCTTAAGAGTGACATTTAATGGAAGGAAACATATGATGGAAGTGCTTAGAAATGCCAGGAAATTGCAGTGTGATGAGGATAGCAAACTTTGGTCAATAAGAGAAGACCACTCAAAGAAAGATAGAGAAAAGCTGAAAATGAACTTCGATGAAGAGAAACATCTAAATAGGAATAGAAATGAAGAAGAAATAAATTCCTTTTTTCTACAAAAATGTTAGGGACTGGATAGCTAGTGAAATAGTACACAACAACAAAGCAACAAAATCATTAGAGGAAATGGGAGTAAAGGACAAAGGAAAAGGGAATATGCTCCTGAAAATTGTATATACCATAATGGATGCAGCGAGATAATAAATACTGGAACCAGGAGATATTATCCAGCTTAAGGTCCCAGATATTGTTGCACTAACAAAGATGAAATTTTAAGAAAATATCTTAACACTATCGCGCGCCCGGCATGCGCGCTGCGAACTTTAAGGTCACGCCTTCGGTGTGTGAGTGAGCATGCAGGCACGTGCTTGGCGACACTGAAATGTGTATACCCGTTTCAGTTTGTTCACCTTAATTCTTGTGCTACGTCGTTCGTTTTGGTATTGTGTTTGCAATAGAATTCCCTACAGATATATATGCATATAATGTACAAAAGCCCGGCATGACTCCCTGCAGGAAAGTCTAAACTTACCCGTAAACGAGCACCAATTGGCACACCGCAACCTAATGTGTATACTTGTTCAGTTTGATAACATCAATTTTCGTGTTACGTCTTTCATTTTGGTATCAAATTGTTTGCAATAAAAAGGCTCGTAATTTAAAATTAGTCCCATAATAATAGAGCAATAACTGGAATTTTAACAAATATTTTAATTTTGGAAGCTCATCATCACAAATTATTTATATCTTTCCAGTGTTCTGACATAAATTTTTGTGTTACATCTTTCATTTTAATATCAAATTGTTCACAATGTAAAGGTGCACATTTTAAAACTAGTCCCAAAATAATAACACATAGAATTTTAACAAATATTTTAAAATTTTGACCAAAAACTTATTTATAATATTTCAAGTGTTCTGACAAAGTTTCGTGTTACATCTTTCAATTTGGTATCAAATTGTGCGCACTCTAAAGGCGCTTATTTTGAAACTATCCCGAGGTCGATCGGATAAAAAATGAATTTTATACAAGCAGCAACAGAACCACACGGAGGTAGCTGCTCCTGAACAGCTCATGGAAGATAACCCTGAGGCCCCAAAGGCAGTACTTACAGGACACCTAGGGAAGGCGGCCCTAGGTGCATGCAGCACCTAGGGCTGCGCAACCCCCCCTAGGGACGGGGGGGGGGGGGGTTGCGCAGACAGATGCGCGCCGTTTGTGGTGACGTCATACTTGTTTCCTTGGTTTTGATTGGGGAGTTCTGTTGCTAGTTCGGCTTTCAGTTTGCAATTTATTTGATCAGCAGTAGTTTGTCTTGGAATTCCTACCTCTCTGGGTGCCTGACCTGGTAGATGGCAGACTAAAACTGCTTCCAATTACATGGGGGCTATCTTTAGGTCATTCCTCCTCATGACTCTCTTGAGGGGGGGCTAGGTTCAGGCTCTGGTCCCCGGTAGGCTTAGAACTCCTTCGATTGACTGTTGCCACAGTCTAATATATGCACATAAGCCTGGTATAGCTCCGGGGAGCCGAAGGGGCTCTTCACAGAAAACAGGTGCTGACTCAGCGTGCGTCCCAGGTGGTCTGCTCCTCCCCAGCTGTCAGGCAGGACTGGCCACAAAGAGATAATTACTTAATTATGTCAATGTTTCTGATTGATTTTTCATAGTTTTTTTTGCTGTAGTATTATTCAATAATGTGTAGTGTGATATACTTAGATAATAAAATGTGTGAATCATTGCTATACTCATAATTATGGTTATCTTGAGGTTATCTTGAGATGATTTCGGGGCTTTTAGTGTCCCCGCGGCCCGGTCCTCGACCAGGCCTCCACCCCCAGGAAGCAACCCGTGACAGCTGACTAACACCCAGGTACCTATTTTACTGCTAGGCAACAGGTGCATAGGGTGAAAGAAACTCTGCCCATTGTTTCTCGCCGGCGCCTGGGATCGAACCCAGGATCACAGGTCCCGCATGCTGTCCGCTCGGCCGACCGGCTCCCCCCTATCCACACCATGGTGTGCATATTTTTTATTCAATTATTATGTTCATCAAACAGTGAATAAATACTTTGTCGGTTATTACACTATATACACAGGTTATATGTAAGTAGCTGCATGTTTTGTTCACCATAACGAACCACTAAGTTGGTATTATGAGTCAAAAAGCAACGAGGAGTGACCGCCACACACCAGCCAGCCACTCGCTGCCACTCGCTCCCTCAACACCTCACTCGCCCAAATTCTCCTCCCACCATACTGTTTTTGCTTTTATTCACTATAACAGACGTTATATACAAGTATCTACATGTTTTGTTCATCACAACTGTACAACTAAGTTGATATAGTTAGTTCAGGCACTAAGAGACGTCGCTACACACAGTCAGCTAGCGGCTGCCTCCCTCACACATTCACGGTCAGTCGCACTAAAATTTCACCCCCAATAATACTGTTTGTGGTGTTATTACCCTATATACACACACATTATATATAAGTATCTACATGTTTTGTTCACCATAACTGTTCAACTAAGCCAGTATAGTGCCCAGAGAGCATAGTGGCCACCCCTACCAACATGACAAATCATGCAGATGTTGCCACCCCATCACCAAAATTGCTTCTCCCCCACACTCCTTTTGCTATTATTACACTGTATATACACGTTATATATATAAATATCTACATTCGTGTTCACCATAACAAACCACTAAGTTGGTATGCTGAGTGGCAGTGGCAGCCAGTGGCAGATAATAACTGGCTGCCACTTCCTCCCTCCCTCACCTCACATTCACTTCCTCGCCACCATTCTTCTCCCACAATACTGTTTTTGCTTTTGTTCACTATATACAGACGTTATATATAAGTATCTGCATGTTTTGTTCACCATAGCAAACAACTAAGCTGGTATAGTGAGTCCAAACAGTAAAAGGTGGTCACACACAGTCAGCAGACAATGCTACCTCCCTCCCCACCAAGATTACATCTCCCACTACAGCATTAATTATCACAACAATCCTGCTATTATCAGAATCCTGGTCATTTTTATCACAGTCAGGGGTCTTCTATAATACTATCATCACTAAATAATAGCATGAACATATATATTATGGCATTTTTAGGCGATGCTGTGGTCAAAAGCTGAACAGCAGTGCTGCGAGCTCATGCTGCGTGCGTCAGGCTTGGTGGCTTACTCAATAAGGGTCTCGATACTTAATGAGGGTCTCACTCACCGAGACCCTCACACCCGGGAATTTGGCCCCGATTTTATATTAAAATGGCGTCTGTTTACAAGAGCCCTGATGAAGGCGAGGTGAACCCCGTGTATCCGCAGGCCATTTAAATCTTGTGAAGTACTCCAACACGTCATATGACATGATACGCAATTTATAGCAAGTTACTCAACACATCATATGACGTGTTGTGCAGTTTAAGGGTTAAGGTAAGGTCTTCCGACATGAGTACACCCAAATCCTTTACATTGCTTTTTTTTATTCTATGTTATGATTTGACTGCATTTTGTACGTGATTTCCGTTTTTAAATTTTAATTTTTTCCGTAGCGCAATAGCTGAAACTTATCTTCATTAAATACCATATTATTTCCTGCAGCCCATTAAAAGACCTAGTTTACATCTGATTGGAGGTTTGCTGTGTTCTCTATGTTGTACACACTCATA